AGTAGGAAATACATTTTCAATTTTGGACTAGGGGCGACCCTAGTCAAAATCAATTTTCTCACTTTTTTCTTCGAGGGTTTATCCAAATGAATTAAAACTTTGCATAAATATTCTAGTGCTTGAAACAAATACAAATAAAACGTTCTAAAATTTTTTTGAACAAAGAACCAAGTAGGAAATACATTTTCAATTTTGGACTAGGGGCGACCCTAGTCAAAAACAATTTTCTCAATTTTTTCTTCGAAAAATTATCCAAATGGATTGAAACTTTGCATAAATATTTTAGTGTTTAAAACAAATACAAATAAAACATCTTAAAATTTTTTTGAGCAAAGAACTAAGAAGGAAATACATTTTCAATTTTGGACTAGGGGCGACCCTAGTCAAAATCAATTTTGTCACTTTTTTCTTCGAAGGTTTATCCAAATGGATTGAAACTTTGCATAAATATTCTAGTGCTTAAAAAAATACAAATAAACTATCCTAAAATTTTTTTGATCAAAGAACCAAGTAGGAAATACATTTTCAATTTTGAACTTGGGGCGACCCTAGTCAAAATCAATTTTGTCACTTTTTTCTTCGAAGGTTTATCCAAATGGATTGAAACTTTGCATAAATATTCTAGTGTTTAAAACAAATACAAATTAAACATCCTAAAAATTTTTTTAAACAAAGAATCAAGTAGGAAATACATTTTCAATTTTGGACTAGGGGCGACCCTAGTCAAAATCAATTTTCTCACTTTTTTCTTCGAGGGTTTATCCAAATGGATTGAAACTTTGCATAAATATTTTAGTGTTTAAAACAAATACAAATAAAACATCCTAAAATTTTTTTGAGCAAAGAACCAAGTAGGAAATACATTTTCAATTTTGGACTAGGGGCGACCCTAGTCAAAAACAATTTTCTCAATTTTTTCTTCGAGGGTTTATCCAGATAGATTGGAACTTTGCATAAATATTCTAGTGCTTAAAACAAATACAAATAAAACGTTCTAAAATTTTTTTGAGCAAAGAACCAAGTAGGAAATACATTTTTAATTTTGGACTAGGGGCGACCCAAGTCAAAATCAATTTTCTCACTTTTTTCTTCGAGGGTTTATCCAAATGGATTGAAACTTTGCATAAATATTTTAGTGCTTAAAACAAATACAAACAAAATATCCTTATAATTTTTTTGAGTAAAGAACCAAGGAGGAAATACATTTTCAATTTTGGACTAGGGGCGACCCTAGTCAAAATCAATTTTCTCACTTTTTGTCGAGGGTTTATCCAAATGGATTGAAACTTTGCATAAATATTCTAGTGCTTAAAAAAAATACAAATAAAACATCCAAAAATTTTTTTGAGCAAAGAACCAAGTAGGAAATACATTTTCAAGTTTGGACTAGGGGCGACCCTAGTCAAAATCAATTTTCACACTTTTTTCTTCGAAAGTTTATCCAAATGGATTGAAACTTTGCAGAAATATTTTAGTGTTTCAAAAAAATACAAATAAAACATCTTAAAATTTTTTTGAGCAAAGAACCAAGTAGGAAATACATTTTCAATTTTGGACTAGGGACGACCCTAGTCAAAATCAATTTTGTCAATTTTTTCTTCGAAAAATTATCCAAATGGATTGAAACTTTGCATAAATATTTTAGTGTTTAAAACAAATACAAATAAAACATCTTAAAATTTTTTTGAGCAAAGAACCAAGAAGGAAATACATTTTCAATTTTGGACTAGGGGCGACCCTAGTCAAAATCAATTTTGTCACTTTTTTCTTCGAAGGTTTATCCAAATGGATTGAAACTTTGCATAAATATTCTAGTGCTTAAAAAAATACAAATAAACTATCCTAAAATTTTTTTGATCAAAGAACCAAGTAGGAAATACATTTTCAATTTTGAACTTGGGGCGACCCTAGTCAAAATCAATTTTGTCACTTTTTTCTTCGAAGGTTTATCCAAATGGATTGAAACTTTGCATAAATATTCTAGTGTTTAAAACAAATACAAATTAAACATCCTAAAAATTTTTTTAAACAAAGAATCAAGTAGGAAATACATTTTCAATTTTGGACTAGGGGCGACCCTAGTCAAAATCAATTTTCTCACTTTTTTCTTCGAGGGTTTATCCAAATGGATTGAAACTTTGCATAAATATTTTAGTGTTTAAAACAAATACAAATAAAACATCCTAAAATTTTTTTGAGCAAAGAACCAAGTAGGAAATACATTTTCAATTTTGGACTAGGGGCGACCCTAGTCAAAAACAATTTTCTCAATTTTTTCTTCGAGGGTTTATCCAGATAGATTGGAACTTTGCATAAATATTCTAGTGCTTAAAACAAATACAAATAAAACGTTCTAAAATTTTTTTGAGCAAAGAACCAAGTAGGAAATACATTTTTAATTTTGGACTAGGGGCGACCCAAGTCAAAATCAATTTTCTCACTTTTTTCTTCGAGGGTTTATCCAAATGGATTGAAACTTTGCATAAATATTTTAGTGCTTAAAACAAATACAAACAAAATATCCTTATAATTTTTTTGAGTAAAGAACCAAGGAGGAAATACATTTTCAATTTTGGACTAGGGGCGACCCTAGTCAAAATCAATTTTCTCACTTTTTGTCGAGGGTTTATCCAAATGGATTGAAACTTTGCATAAATATTCTAGTGCTTAAAAAAAATACAAATAAAACATCCAAAAATTTTTTTGAGCAAAGAACCAAGTAGGAAATACATTTTCAAGTTTGGACTAGGGGCGACCCTAGTCAAAATCAATTTTCACACTTTTTTCTTCGAAAGTTTATCCAAATGGATTGAAACTTTGCAGAAATATTTTAGTGTTTCAAAAAAATACAAATAAAACATCTTAAAATTTTTTTGAGCAAAGAACCAAGTAGGATATACATTTTCAATTTTGGACTAGGGACGACCCTAGTCAAAATCAATTTTGTCACTTTTTTCTTCGAGGGTTTATCCAAATGGATTGAAACTTTGCGTAAATATTCTAATGCTTAAAACAAAAACAAATAAAACATCCTAAAATTTTTTTTGAGGAAAAAACCAAGTAGGAAATACATTTTCAATTTTGGACTAGGGACGACCCTAGTCAAAATCAATTTTGTCACTTTTTTCTTCGAGGGTTTATCCAAATGGATTGAAACTTTGCATAAATATTTTAATGCTCAAAACAAATGCAAATAAAACATCCTAAAATTTTTTTGAGCAAAGAACCAAGTAGGAAATACATTTTACATTTTGGACTAGGGGCGACCCGGATCAAAATCAATTTTGTCACTTTTTTCTTCGAGGGTTTATCCAAATGGATTGAAACTTTGTATATATATTTTAGTGCTTAAAACAAATACAAATAAAACATCCTAAAATTTTTTTGAGCAAAGAACCAAGTAGGAAATACATTTTCAATTATGAACTTGGGACAGGTCTAGTCAAAATCTAGTTTTTCACTTTTTTTCTTCGAAGGTTTATCCAATTACAGTGAAATTTAGAGTGAGTATACTAATTTTTATGCAAAACAGTTTTAAATATCTAAAGGAAGAAATGTATTCTATATGTCGTCAGACCCAAATTTTATAAATTTGGTTGTACATTCAAAAACCACGTGACTTAAAATTTTGTCCAAAAAAATGATTTTGATTAATTCAGAAATGTGTGACCTAAGGATTAAAATGCTCATACAAAAATTTACTGTATTTGGATTTATCCTCGAAGAAAAAAAATTGAAAAACTAGATTTTGACTAGACCTGTCCCAAGTTCATAATTGAAAATGTATTTCCTACTTGGTTCTTTGCTCAAAAAAAATTTACGATGTTTTATTTGTATTTTTTTTTGAGCACTAGAATATTTATGCAAAGTTTCAATCCATTTGGATAAACCCTCGAAGAAAAAAGTGAGAAAATTGATTTTGACTAGGGTCGCCCCTAGTCCAAAATTGAAAATGTTCTTTGCTCAAAAAAATTTTTTGGATGTTTTATATGAATTGACATAATTCTGACATAAATCACATACCAATATTACTTTTTGTAATGCATAGCTTAAAAAAAATCGAAATCTAAAATTTCGACTACCCCATCTGAATTTTGTACATACTCTTCATTGTGGAAACTAAAAAACAAATTCTTTATCTTTAAACACTTGACAAAATAGCGACATAATTCAGGATTAACTACTTTTTAATAATATTTTAACATTTACGAGAAAATGTGGTTCAAATAAGTGTGAAGTATGGCCGAGATTTGGACCAAAATCAGCTATACTGGTTCATAGTGTTCCCGAGATTGACAAACTTCAAACTAAGTGTTTTTGTAGCTGACATAATTATGACATAAATTAGGTATAACTTTTGAACTGTGTCGATATGGGTCTCGGCCGTACTTCATGCCCACCCTTCAAACTTATGCTGAGCAAATCTTGGTCTATCCATAAGACTTTTGATGGTACGGTGTGAATATATCCGCATTGGGTTTCTACCCGATACACTAGTTTATATTTGGCACTGCCTGGATACATTTGAAAATCTTTATCAATCGCGTCCACTTAACAAAAATTCCATAAAGGGACGATACATGTAACACACGAATGTATTCCATGTATAGGACTTGCGTATAATCCATGGATAATACTTGAAATGAACTAAAACTCCTTAAACACTTTAAATAAAATTATCATGCAAAAAAAACTAAGCTGGATCTGCAAAAAGAAACGCACAAAAAATTAATTAAGCCCTGAAAAAAAAAGTAAATTATAACACAAAAACAACGACAGCTATACGCCGACATTTCTCATTTATGAGCAAACATCAAGTATGAAAAAATATTCAATTTTAAAACACGACGGTTAAAAGTGATCATAAATGATAAACACGATGTGATTTTTTTTACCACTACAACGAAGCTCTTGTTATTATTAAAATCGCAAAAAACCGGTTGATAGTACTTTTTTAAATGTTAGTTTTATTTCATTCAAAACAGTTACATACTGGAGATCGTCGAAGTTAGTTCGATTCTCGTTTTTTGGGTTTGAAAAATGTTTAAAAAACTATTATTCTCATTTATTGTGTTAATAAATTTGTATAATAAATGTGAAGGTGGGTCAGAATTGGTGCAAAAAAGACTTCGTGAGGATGAAATTGTGCCTGACGTGCTGCAAAAATTATCAGACGTGGATTTTCTAAAAGTTTCATATTTAAAAAACTCGAAAGCTGATCTAGGAAATATTTTAACTCCAACTCAAGTTAAAGAACAACCGGAAATTGAATATGATGCAAATCCAAATGATTTCTACACTTTATTGATGACTGATCCTGATGCACCATCCAGAATGGAACCAACATTCAGAGAATTCAGACATTGGCTTGTTGTAAACATTCCTGGAAATGATATTGAAAATGGTGAAACAGTTATTGAATATATTGGAAGTGGTCCACCTAAGGTGATTTTTTTCTTGTTTACTTTCACGCAATAATTTAAAAGTCATTAATCGCATTACCTATTTAGGATACCGGTTTACATCGATACGTGTTCCTCGTTTTTAAACAATCGAAAGGAAAAATTGACTTTGATGGTCCCTATGTCTCAAATCATTCTCCATTAAGCCGTCCATCAACGTCAACAAGAGATCTAATTGATAAATATGATCTTGAACTCGTTGCGGCTAACTTTTTTGAGGCTGAATATGATGATTATGTTCCAACTGTGCATTTTCAATTGTCTGGTAAATCTGGTTAATAGTTTAACGTCTGAATGTTAGTGGTCCAAAAGTTGATTGAGTATCAATTTTGATTCTGATTTTAATGGGAAAAATCAACTTTTTAATTACATTAACTCGTAGAAAAAATCTAATATTCAATATTCATTTTATATGAAGAAATCAAATAATCAATACTGGATTTTCCTCAAGTAAAAATTTATTAGAATTAAATATTTGAATATTAAATTTCATAATTTTATGATAAAAATTCAAAAAAAAAAAATATATAAAATATCTATAACATAAATTTTGGGCTGAAAAATAAAAATTCGAATATTTGAATTAAGTGATGTAATATTTGATATTTTTTTAAAAAAATGCTTTATTTATTAAATTTAATCATTAACATGTTTTTATTATATTTTTATAAGTTTACTGCACTTAATGATGTGCTTTTTATGACAAAAATCATTTAAAACTCATTTTTTCGCATCTTCAATTTTTTTCCTCGTGGCTGCGCAAGAACTTTTTTTTCCAATATCTATCTTCATTATTTCACGATTTCATTTTATGAAAGTTTTAATTCTTTTTACCTGTTTGATGTCCTTTTTAAAATAACACAGACTGAAACTAATATTTGAAGAATTTTCTTAATTTTTAAATATTTCCTTATTTAATTTCTAATATTCAATATTTGATTTTGTAAAAATAAAAATCTAATAGGCGAATATTTTATTTTTTTCTATGAGTGATTTGAACAACAATTTTAAGTTTTGAATTATTCTGAGCACCAATCAAAGAAGACTATTATATAATATTATTTTAAATCAGTAATAATAAATTTACATACAATTTGTAATCTGTGAATAAAAAATGAGTTTGAAAAAATTGACTAGTAAATAATGAAGATATTATCACACATATATTTTAAGTCAATGATATATTATTCAATCACATACCAATCACCAAAAAATAACTGCCAATAAAATTTAAATGTGCGTCTCGACTAGCTTCCACAAAATTATGTATAAAATCTCTCACAAAGAAAAGTTTCTCTTCGCTGAGGAATACATGTATTTTTTTTTCTTTAGTCGAAACGAAAGTAGTTATTAAATGTATGTGTTGTGCTCTGTAGGTTAGTAGAGAAAGAGAATTTACAAAACCAAAATAAAATTTTAGTAGTTTGCCAAACAGTTGTGCGAAATCCATATCAAATATTGCACTCGTGATCAGACTGTAGCGTTAATCGTCGATAATAACTTTGTCAGTTTACCAGTGACAAGAAGAAAAAAAAATAGTAATTTATTACATCGGAATATTAAATTTAATTTTTGTAAAATAGAAAAGAGTGAGTTATGTTGCCAGATAATATGTCTACATATGTGAGATTTTACTCGTGTTCATCATCAACGTCACCTTTATAAAAATTCTTTAATTTCGGCAGGAAATTTGATATTTTGTAAAAATAAATTTTATAATTAGAGCTGAAAGCAATTATTCCATTATCGCGAAGGCTAATTACTGCGTAAGACAATAATAAAAATATTATTCTTGGTGGATCGGAGTCAAAGATTGAGAATATAAAATTACAGACGAAAATAATCATTGAATCAGATGTGTTTGTTTTGAGTTTCGTGAGTGCTCGCAGATAATTAAAAATAAATTATATCACACTGACATTGAAGAAAATTTTAGCATTGAGGAACCGACTCAAGGATGAGCAAAACATTTTCATATATCATTTATTTTTATAGTTCAAGGAAAATGCACAAAAATGCATTCGTCTGTGTATTTGTATGGGAATGCAATATTGTAGTGCCATCTTCCGAGCTAAGACTTTTGCTCCCTAGTATATGCGTCATATTTCTCTCTATTCAAATCCCTTTTCCCTCTCTTTCTCTCTTTCCTGTCTGTTTACTCTCATGTCAACCTCTCATGTAATAATATTTTTCTGTGTTGTTTTTATTTCTGTTGTAGAGTAACGTAAATCGATATGGCAACCCTAACAGCACCATTTATTTCTCACTCATTCCGCTCAACAAAACAGTTCAGTCGTATTCTACACCGGTCTTCAACTCATTGTGTTTTAAATTTTCGTCTGAATAATTCTATTAATTGTTTGTCATCAACGAGAAATATGTCTGATGCAGCAACGCCAAAAAAATGTTTGGAGATTCACAACATAAATCCAAACATTAAAACTATGGAATACGCAGTAAGGTGAGAACTTTTTTTATGATCAATATTTGGTTTTGTAACAACGCAAATTGTAAACTGCCACAAGTGTGCTAATCAAATTACTCAACAAATTTCAGAGGTCCATTAGTTATTCGCGCTGCGGCTATTGAAAAGGAATTGGAACAGGTAGTTATACGTTTGAAACTTAATTTCAGTTCCTACACTATGTTATTTACAAAAGCAGCATTAATGAATTTTTTCCATTGTTATTTTTAATTTCTAACAAAAAGTAAAGCTAGAGCTATTTGTGCTTGATTTCAAATGAGAGAACAAAAGTATTTTTATGTAATGAAACCTTTGCATCACTCACTCTATATTGATAAAGTAATTTACGAGTTTCCGCAAAAAAAAAACAATGCGCCAATGTCAATTTTGCTCTCAGCTTTAAGAAAGAAAAAAATTTAAATATAAAATATCTTCACAATAAAACTAGCAAAAAAAAGTCATCTGGCGAGATTTTCTTTCTCGTTTCTCTTATCTCTCCTGTTGCCACATATTATTTAATCATGATGTGAATAAAAAGTCCTCAGTCTTGTATTTCATTTGTACTAATCGCACTTCTCATGTTTTACAAATATTTAATGTTTTAAACTTTTTGATAAATGATTTGTTAAATTCTCAATTGTCTCATGTTTAGGGCGTTAAGAAGCCATTCAATGAAGTCATACGAGCCAACATTGGAGATTGCCATGCCATGGTATGTTAATTACTATTATGTTTGTAATTTGAGTTGTAAAGGCTGTGGAAGGAAGTGAATAATTCTTCTCATTACAAAGAATATTTTCTTTGTAAATGACAAGTCGTTGTATTACAAAATTAAATTAATTTTAGCTACTTTATTAAAAAATGCCATATCAGATGTAAATGCTCGATAAGATTCCATCTAATTATTGATATGGATTTGTCAAGGAAAAAAAACCTGTAAATTTTCTGAGCTGATCATGCAGTTTCACTCCTAGTCATTCAATTATCACTTCAAGTGATAACTTGCACTATTAGCTTATGGCCATAATATTGTTTTTCAAGTTTATCTCAGTACATCCACCGAGTTCGTGGCGCATTAATCTTTGTCTTAAATATGAATTTCTAGATAAATCAAGTTCGAAATTAATTGCTTCCGTCAGACAATCATTAACACTATTACCTCCCAACAACTCTTTCAACTCTGTATTTCACCAATATTGCTCACTATTTAGTTTTTATGAAATTTTTCTTTTCTTTTTGGTTTTAGGGTCAAGTGCCTATCACATTTATTCGTCAAGTGAGTATTCGCCATAAATTAAAATAATATCAATTAAATTGTTATGATTTTTATGAGCTTATATAACTCAATCGATTATTATAAACTCAAAAAGGTACAACTATATTGAGGAAAATCAGATAGAACTTTGCATTGCGAGTTTCAGCCTGCATTAATTACGTGTAGCATATTTTCTAAAGTAACAATTTTTTTGGTTGAATTGATTAGAATATGCAATCAAATTGGGTAATGCACAAAAAAATTTCAATTGGAACCTCTAACTTAACTCACATCCGATATTTTAACGATGTGCATAGCTTAAAGCCATCTTAGTGAGACGTAACGTTAACTTATATGGTTTCTGTTTATTTCGGCAGAATGTCAATTAGTGCAAAAGATCTTTATTTCGTCGATTACATTTTAAAATGCTTAATTTTAATTAATAAGCAGCTTTGCGGTCGATGCTCTGTTAGGTTAGTAATTATTTTTGTAAAAGTTTATGAGAAGTAAGCTACAGATGTGTTGTTTTCTAGTAAATTTCCTACTTAAATCATGGATTAATCAATTGAGAAATAAATAAATGAAGTATTAAATATTGATTAGCCATCATTGATAAGCTTGAGTGTATTTCGAAACGCTCGTTTATCTTGTACTCAACTTCTAGCGAGAAAAAATTATTTTATTTCAACACATATTTAGATCAGTAACCCGATTGTACCATAATAATGTATGATTCTAGAAGATAAAGAACGACGGCTGCTTACCACTTAGATTTGATGATCATAATACCATCAAAAATAACTTTCTATCGTGATGAGTTATCATCCATTGTTTGAATATTTGCTCATAATAAATATACTTATCAAATGTATATGTATATTTAAAGCTGATACGAACAATTCTACAGTATGAAATTTTCGAAAATTAGGAAAAAATTATGAAGTTTAGATGAAAATATTATGTAATCATTTAATAATATGCATAATATAGCTAAATCTTTTTTAAATCTATCAAAAACAGATTGAAATGACTAAAAATTGTAATGGTTTTTTCGGTAATTAATATTCGTGTCTCCTCTCAGGTTCTTGGGCTGTGCGTTTACGAGAAGCTATTTGACGATCCTTCTATCCCTTCTGATGTTAAACAAAGAGCTCGTGATATTTTAAATGGTTGTAAAGGTGGCTCGCTAGGATCTTATTCTGATTCGACTGGTAAATAAAAAAATGATGACTTTTATATTCAGTTATCTAAAATATACCCTTTTTTTGTAGGAATTGAAGTCATTCGTAAACATTGTGCCGAACATATACAACGACGTGATGGTTTTCCATCACATCATGATGATATAATTTTATCAGCTGGTGCATCGGGAAGTATTAAAGCTTTACTATCCCTCTTACGTTGTGATATTGATGGAAAACGACCTGGTGTTATGGTCCCTACCCCGCAATATCCACTTTATTCTGCAACAATTGCCGAATTTGACATGGAACAAATCGGTTATTATTTAGATGAATCAAAACATTGGGGACTAGATGTTGTTGAATTGCAGAGAGCAATCAATGAAGCAAAGAAACATTCAGCACCTCGTGCCATTGTTATTATTAATCCTGGTAATCCAACTGGACAAGTCTTGTCGAGAGATAATATTGAAGAAATCATCAAGTTTGCCTACAAAGAAAAACTATTTATCTTTGCCGATGAGGTCTATCAAGATAATATTTATGATCCAGATTCGAAATTTTATTCATTCAAAAAGGTGCTATTTGAAATGGGAGCTCCATACAACAAGATGGACATGGCAAGCTTCATGAGCTGCTCGAAAGGTAACAATTTAATACTATTTAAGCGGTCTTTAATTCTAAGCTGTATGACATTTTAGGATACATGGGTGAATGCGGCATTCGTGGTGGCTACTGTGAATTAATCAATGTCTGCCCAGACGTTAAAGCTGCTCTTAATAAATCAATTTCTGCTCAATTGTGTCCAACAACAGTCGGTCAGGCATGCATTGATTGTGTTGTATATCCACCACAGCCATCTGAGCCATCATATGATCTTTTCATAAAAGAGAAACAAGGAGTATTGCGTTCATTGAAAGAACGAGCTGACATGGTCGCTCATACATTTAATTCAATCGAAGGATTTAGCTGTAATACAGTACAAGGAGCAATGTATGCTTTCCCACAAATTCGACTCCCAGAGAAGGCAATTGAGGCTGCTAAGAAAGCCAGTCAAACGCCCGACACATTTTATGCTTTCCAATTATTAGAAAAAACTGGAATATGCATCGTCCCGGGCAGTGGTTTTGGACAGAAACCTGGTACATATCATTTTAGAACAACAATTCTTCCACAAAAGGAGAAGCTCAAGGAAATGTTAGACTTGTTCCGCAAGTTCCATGAGAACTTCCTTAAAGAATATAAATAACTGTCTATTACATCATGTTCGTTTCGATTTATTAACACACTTTTTAACAAAACAAAAAAAAAAAAACAGGAGGAACGAAATATCATCAAAAATTAAAGACAAGTCAGTTATTTTGCGAATAACTCTAAAAATTTATTATGTTTTGAAATATTTTAAAAAATCAAGTTTTTTGATGCATTTTTTGAGAAGCGAGTTTAAATTGAAAACGCTTTCAAAGTGAAATATATATTTATGGAAGTAGTCAAGTGAAAGCTCTAAAATATACACATAAAAATATTCGGACCGTTAATAAATAGTTAAAATTATATAAGGATTCATATTGAAATTTCGTAAAACAAGAAATGTGATTGGGTTAAAATAATCAATGATAAAAAAGCATAAAATCATATTCATCTGCGTGATGTGGTGAAAATGTTCTAATAGTTACTACTCTTGTCATGTTTGTTTTTATGTTTTGAATCGCCTTATGCCTTTTTATGTGAAATTTTTGAATTGAGAAAGGCTAATTTATAACTAACGTATGCATAAGAATCCGTACAATAAATATGTGTCGTTAGATAATATTGATGTACAGCTCAAAGTGTTCATTTATCCACGAATTCGTTCGTCATCATTATTACTTGATCTGCGGAAAATACGAATGTTTATTAACATATTTTTCAAAGTATCTTGCTCAATTTTACTTGAGCATCTTATGGTGGTCAAAAAAATTAGCAATATCACAAAAAATATGTATCAAAAGATTATCTAAACTGCATTTATTGTACATTTTTATTTGTACTAAATTTGGAATTAAAAAATGATAATGACAATGATGTAGTTTCAAATTGACATTATTCCTAATATCATTATTTGCTAGGTAATTTACATCTATAGTTGAATGAAATTATTCTCTTAATATAAAAAAAAACTTATAATCGCAAATATCTGAAAATTTAGGTCCATGTTATCTACAATTGCGGAACAAAGAAAAAAAATTTAACAATAAATTAATGTTTATGAAATGTCAAAGAAATAAAGTTTTAAAAAACAATAAAGGACATTGTGTAGACATAGACATTTAATCAAAGCACATAAAAGATTTCTTCAATGTTTTTTAGTTTTTTTTTTCTGTTGTTGATTCATAACGATTCATAGCGACTCTCATCAGCTTTTTTTAATGGTCAAAATTTCAATTTTCTTCCACTGCAACCGTTTGACTTGAGAATAAAGTTGAGACATTCTGTTGATGTTCTATACTCGTTTAACAATTAAGGATGTCTATGGATCCATGTCTATCCAACTGTTTGTATTTTTTTCACTTAGTTTTCACTTTACTCACCATTTATTGTGTCCATCCGATGATGTTGTTCGTTAAATATGTCCTAGAAAGAGATAAACATATAAAAATTTATTAATTCAAATATTAAAATTAATTGAAATATTATTTCCTGCAGACGACAATTTTTTCACAACAAATTAATTATTTTCACTATTTTCCTTAATTATTTTATAAGACAAGTTTGGTTTTGTCTTTCTTATTTTTAATGCTGGTTCTTTTGATGTCACTTTCACTTAATTTAATTAACTTTTTTACTTATTATTTTCAGATTTTTTTTCAGTAATTTTCAATTTTATTCACTTTTAATTGTAATTATATAAGTGTTTGTATTTTTTTCCAAGTCCTACCATGTTTGCGGATGATTTACAAATATATTTACTTAAATTAACTCTCTATTTAATTAATTATTTCACTTTTTCACTCAATCTCGGACTTAGGGAGTTTTTTGCCCGCTCCTGCGGGCGAAAATGGGTGGGCGGTGGGCCGTGACCTAGTAAACAGATGACAACGTGGTCCTTAAGATTAATTAAATTATGTGGTTTATACTCACTGTTGATGATCCAATTATGTCTTAATGTCTTTATAAGACCCTTATCTACCCTTATCTACCTTTATCAACACGAATATACTACTAATATAGACTAATTAATAAACATATGTTAACATTAAAGAACGGTGAATCCTATGTCTATTACATCGTTTTCTCATGGACATTTGAATTTCAAAAAACCGTTATTTAACAATACAAGTTTTTCAAACTTCCGAAGGAAGTTTGAAAAACTTGAAAAAAAATTATACTATTATTAATATAATAGAGCTTTTGACAGGGAGCTTTTTAACAAGAGAGCTTTTAACAGTGGAGCTTTTAAGGGAGCTTTTAAGGGAGCTTTTAAGGGAGCTTTTAAGGGAGCTTTTAAGGGAGCTTTTTTAAAAACTTTTTTTTCAAATTTCCGCAGGAAATTTGAAAAACAGATTTTTGAACTTCCTTCGGAAGTTCAAAATTCTTACAATCTAAAAACAATAAACATAAAACTTTTAATAAAATTTTTCTTTAATCGGTCAAACTAGGGGGCTTCGTGGGAATCGGGGGTACCCGGGTGGGGACCCGGACACAAAAGCTCACAATAAAAGCTCCTCTAAAAGCTCGCTTAAAAGCTCTCGATAAAAGCTCACTTAAAAGCTCTCGATAAAAGCTCGCTTAAAAGCTCTCGATAAAAAGCTCTTCAAATTTGTCCATTTTTTTTTCTTTAGACCTGAAAACAGATGTGAACCTAAAAGTGATGTATTGACAAAAGTTGCTACAGGCTGAGATGCATCCAACGTGATACTGAACCCCCTGTACCCCCCTATGGAAAATTCTAGAAAAATCGAGTTTTTTGAAAAACTTCAATTCTGTTTTTTCACTCAACCTAGAACAAGTGTTTTAGACCTGAAAACAGATGTGAACCTAAAAGTGATGTATTGACAAAAGTTGCTACAGGCTGAGATGCATCCAACGTGATACTGAACCCCCTGTACCCCCCTATGGAAAATTCTAGAAAAATCGAGTTTTTTGAAAAACTTCAATTCTGTTTTTCACTCAACCTAGAACAAGTGTTTTAGACCTGAAAACAGATGTGAACCTAAAAGTGATGTATTGACAAAAGTTGCTACAGGCTGAGATGCATCCAACGTGATACTGAACCCCCTGTACCCCCCTATGGAAAATTCTAGAAAAATCGAGTTTTTTGAAAAACTTCAATTCTGTTTTTTCACTCAACCTAGAACAAGTGTTTTAGACCTGAAAACAGATGTGAACCTAAAAGTGATGTATTGACAAAAGTTGCTACAGGCTGAGATGCATCCAACGTGATACTGAACCCCCTGTACCCCCCTATGGAAAATTCTAGAAAAATCGAGTTTTTTGAAAAACTTCAATTCTGTTTTTTCACTCAACCTAGAACAAGTGTTTTAGACCTGAAAACAGATGTGAACCTAAAAGTGATGTATTGACAAAAGTTGCTACAGGCTGAGATGCATCCAACGTGATACTGAACCCCCTGTACCCCCCTATGGAAAATTCTAGAAAAATCGAGTTTTTTGAAAAACTTCAATTCTGTTTTTTCACTCAACCTAGAACAAGTGTTTTAGACCTGAAAACAGATGTGAACCTAAAAGTGATGTATTGACAAAAGTTGCTACAGGCTGAGATGCATCCAACGTGATACTGAACCCCCTGTACCCCCCTATGGAAAATTCTAGAAAAATCGAGTTTTTTGAAAAACTTCAATTCTGTTTTTCACTCAACCTAGAACAAGTGTTTTAGACCTGAAAACAGATGTGAACCTAAAAGTGATGTATTGACAAAAGTTGCTACAGGCTGAGATGCATCCAACGTGATACTGAACCCCCTGTACCCCCCTATGGAAAATTCTAGAAAAATCGAGTTTTTTGAAAAACTTCAATTCTGTTTTTTCACTCAACCTAGAACAAGTGTTTTAGACCTGAAAACAGATGTGAACCTAAAAGTGATGTATTGACAAAAGTTGCTACAGGCTGAGATGCATCCAACGTGATACTGAACCCCCTGTACCCCCCTATGGAAAATTCTAGAAAAATCGAGTTTTTTGAAAAACTTCAATTCTGTTTTTTCACTCAACCTAGAACAAGTGTTTTAGACCTGAAAACAGATGTGAACCTAAAAGTGATGTATTGACAAAAGTTGCTACAGGCTGAGATGCATCCAACGTGATACTGAACCCCCTGTACCCCCCTATGGAAAATTCTAGAAAAATCGAGTTTTTTGAAAAACTTCAATTCTGTTTTTTCACTCAACCTAGAACAAGTGTTTTAGACCTGAAAACAGATGTGAACCTAAAAGTGATGTATTGACAAAAGTTGCTACAGGCTGAGATGCATCCAACGTGATACTGAACCCCCTGTACCCCCCTATGGAAAATTCTAGAAAAATCGAGTTTTTTGAAAAACTTCAATTCTGTTTTTTCACTCAACCTAGAACAAGTGTTTTAGACCTGAAAACAGATGTGAACCTAAAAGTGATGTATTGACAAAAGTTGCTACAGGCTGAGATGCATCCAACGTGATACTGAACCCCCTGTACCCCCCTATGGAAAATTCTAGAAAAATCGAGTTTTTTGAAAAACTTCAATTCTGTTTTTTCACTCAACCTAGAACAAGTGTTTTAGACCTGAAAACAGATGTGAACCTAAAAGTGATGTATTGACAAAAGTTGCTACAGGCTGAGATGCATCCAACGTGATACTGAACCCCCTGTACCCCCCTATGGAAAATTCTAGAAAAATCGAGTTTTTTGAAAAACTTCAATTCTGTTTTTCACTCAACCTAGAACAAGTGTTTTAGACCTGAAAACAGATGTGAACCTAAAAGTGATGTATTGACAAAAGTTGCTACAGGCTGAGATGCATCCAACGTGATACTGAACCCCCTGTACCCCCCTATGGAAAATTCTAGAAAAATCGAGTTTTTTGAAAAACTTCAATTCTGTTTTTTCACTCAACCTAGAACAAGTGTTTTAGACCTGAAAACAGATGTGAACCTAAAAGTGATGTATTGACAAAAGTTGCTACAGGCTGAGATGCATCCAACGTGATACTGAACCCCCTGTACCCCCCTATGGAAAATTCTAGAAAAATCGAGTTTTTTGAAAAACTTCAATTCTGTTTTTTCACTCAACCTAGAACAAGTGTTTTAGACCTGAAAACAGATGTGAACCTAAAAGTGATGTATTGACAAAAGTTGCTACAGGCTGAGATGCATCCAACGTGATACTGAACCCCCTGTACCCCCCTATGGAAAATTCTAGAAAAATCGAGTTTTTTGAAAAACTTCAATTCTGT